CCACGGCACAGTGAGGGTGGAGAACAGAACGGAAATGTACCTGGTGGTGTCCCCCACAGGACGCACTCTCCTGGGCCGGTCAGAGGAGGATGGGGGACCTTTGAACTGGGCAGGTCTGGGAAGAAAAGGATTGTAGTCGCTGGGGAAATCGCTCTTGGAACAGATCCTGGGTGACATTTTCAGGATACAAATGTGCTTCAGCCCCCCCCCCCCCCCCCCCCCCCGCAGCAGCGCGGGAGAAGACCTCAGCAGTGGAGAAGCACGCTGGGGAGGGGGAGCAGCCCCAACTCCGAGAGAAGCTCAGGCGGCGCCCCAGGCTGGTCCAGGTCAGGCTCTGGCCTCCGAATGGTCCTGGTCAACCTAAGACCCGCGCTGGCACGGTAGATGCCACCCCAGGCCACGTCGTCCTCCTCCAGCGCCGCAGCGGAGGTGCAGAGCAAAGGCTGCGCCCCCAGTTCCCCGTGGGTCCCCGCCCCGAGCTGCCTTCCGGTTCACTCTTAATCTGTTTATTAAACTCTTATATTGTCCCCCTCCGAGCCCGCCCTCGCCCCCTTTCCGGAGCTGGAAGTGGGTGGACGCCGGGAGTCCAGGAACCCGCACCCGCCAAAGTGCAGCGCGGCAGGCGGGCCGCCCCGGGCCAGGCCTAAAAGTTAGGGTGCTCGCGCCGGACCCCCTCTCCTCCAGACCCCCCTCTCTCCGGACCCCCCTCTCCTCCGGACCCCCTCTCCTCCAGGACCCCCCTCTCCTCTGGACCTGTCGAGGTTAGCCCGTTCGCTGGTCCTGCCCTTGATCTCAGGGGAAGCGCCAGGGCCGCGGGCACGCTCGGTGCTCAGACCAGCGCAGCTGCGGGCAGCCCAGCCCCACAGCCTTTGATCGGCCTCATTCATTCCAGCTGCTCTTGATTTCTGTCACTTTCCCCCTTTCTAGAATCATTATTTATGGCAGAAAAATAAAGGTGCTCGCTGGTGAGCGTGGAGGCAAGGAGGGAATTTCTGAGAACCGAGAATGTGTTTCCCTTTAAAGGTCATCGAAAGGAGGGGAGGGGTAGGGGTAGGGTCTGATCTGTGCTTCCTGGAATTCATTACTCAGGAGCATTAACTAATTACCAGACCAGAGCAATGAAAAAGCAAATATTTCTTAAAATAACGGAAGGTAATTATACCCCTGTTGTTGACACTAACGATTAATAATTGATCAGAAGTTACACACAATAAATTGTCAATTTATCTCCCCACGAAGAATCTGTGCACGTGTAGGTTGGTTTCTTCCCCTGGGCTTGTCCTATGAAGATGCACTCCGTGGGTGTAGGCTGCATCAATCCTCAGCCAATTCCTGAGAAACATTAAACTTGTCTTCAGCTCCAAATAGAAAAGAATGATATTGAGACGCCTTTTGAAAGGCTTTTCCCTAAGACTTGGGGCCGGGTTGAAACGAACAGATGAGCATTCTTCCTCTTCCTTCTCCTTGGGGTTGCAGAGAACACACGGGGTGTTTCATAACTGTTTTCACTGCATTATCTGTAGTGCAAATGTCTTCAAAGCTCATCTTTTTCTTAGAAAAGACAATGCTCTGTTCCCACTCCAGGGAACACAAGCCTGTTCTCTGCTGGGATGTTGGAGGGGGACCAGAGGTGCCTGTTTTCAGAGTGCTGGTGACAACACAAAGGAAAACCAGCAATTGGTGGCATTTGACCCTTACAAGTGGGGTTAGCCCTGTGGTCTTCCTCACCCAGCAGTGTCTAGGGGGGAGAATGCACGGGCTTAAATACCTGATTCACCAGGTCTGGCTGAGGCAGGGGGAAACATTTTCATCATGACCAAGAGAAAGTGGTTGTCACCAGCTGAGAAATTATGTTGTGGTAGATTACTTCTCCTTAAAATAAGCCTTTAAAATATTGGTAGGGATTTGTCACTTGCATAAAGGTTTGAAAATACATCAAAGGGCCCATCCCCCTTGGGATTGGTGGAAATTTAAACGACTGTATCATATCGCCCACACTGCCCCGGCTGTGTGTTGTTCCTAAGGTCCATTTGGGTTAAAGCCCTTAAAAGCATTAGAAATCTATTTTGACAAAGGTGATTTAAAAGCATGTAATGTACCTGTAGATTTAATTTGGGGTTTTAAGTGAATATTTTCTTGGGATCTTGATGGACTAAAGAAAATTAAATGGTGATAATTATTAAGTATATGGTTGTTGGCAGGAACTCTCTACTAAATCCGTGTGTGCTTAAAATTTAAGAGCCTTGTCTGGCTATGTCATAAATTGGTTTGAAATGATTATTTTTAAACTGGTGTCTGTGGTAACCGTTCTTCAATGGTGGTGGTTTAGTGTATATCGAGTGGATGGTTTTGATTTTGGGGAGTTTTGTTTTGTTTCAAAAGGGCAGCCTTTCCTTCAGTGTCCTTCACAAATATTTCACCGCGCCTGTACTTGACCCTGGAGGGCTCAGAAGCTTTGGAGAGCTGGGGTGCCATCCAGTGTGTCGGGTGCAGTTGGACCCTCCCAGCGTCTGCAGCCATCTGATCAATGCGCTGTGCACATCTCCCAGCCTTTCCCCTTCAGAAGGAGCGAGGCCGGCGGCCCGCAAGGGGGTGCAGGAGAGGCGCACCCCAGCCTCTGGGGGTGGGGGACGCGAGCCCAGCCGAGGCCCAGGGCTGCCCCTGCCCCTTCCTCTTTCCCTGGGTTCCCCGCCCCTCCTGACTGGCAGACAAAGGTAGATGAAGTTCTTTTCAAGTTTCAAAGGCAGTTGCTGGGCAGCTTCTCAGAAACAATAACTCTTTTATTGGGAACAAATGTTGACATTTGACGGGCGCAGGAGGCAGCGCCCGAGCCGGCCGCCGGGCAAGCGCCCAGGGTGCTCTCGGCAGCGCCTGGCCCCCGGGGCCCACCTGAGATTAAAGCGCAAATTCCGATAAATCAGCTCTAATGAAACCCGGGCTGCGGAGGGCAGAAGGGCTTCGGCGGCCTGGCAGTGCGGGCGCCGGGTCCTGCAGGCCCGGCCAGCGCAGCCGAGCCCCGCTCCGACTCACTTCTCCACCGGGGTCACGGTCCCTAACTCTCTCTCTCTCTCTCTCTCTCTCTCTCTCTCTCTCTCTCTCTCCCTTCTCCCCCCCCCTCGTCTTTTTTATTGGCTTTTTTCTTGGCTTCCATACACCCTTACAGACTTCCCCTCGTCTGTCTTAGGACTATTTTTCTTAGGTCCTTCAAACACTTGCAGTCTTGTGCTCTTCGCTCATATATAAAAACCGAGTTCTCTAAGAAGGCACTCAGGTCAGGAGGCAAGGTGGGTAACCTACGCTAACCTCGGACAATTTGTTGGGCCTGTAAACATCAAAGCGGCTTCATTAGCCTTAGCTAATCTCCTGGGCAGCTAAATTGTCACCAGGAGAAACCTCTGGGAACGAGGAGTCTGAAGGCCTGGGCTGCATGTCCGGTTAAGACAATCTTCCCTGCTCCAGGAGAGACGGCTTTACCAGCCTGGGAATTCAGTTTGGGCTTGGAATTTTCCCCACCACCTGGAGCCAAATGTCAGCCTTAAATCTTCATTAGCATTATCTCTCGGGTGTTTCGAAGGTTAAATATTGTTAACTTTCATACTTTCCCCGAAATTCTCAAAACATTACACAGGACAGAGACAGTCACCCTGGGCTTCCAGTTTCCTGCTGGTTTATGAAATGTGTCTGACATCAATGCAGCAAAGTGGTTTGTTTCTGCAACATTGCGGTGTAAAATGGATCCTGGAGAGGTGATCCGGACCTCTGGAAATCCCACGAAGCCGTGGAACCCGAAGCAAGCAACAAGACCCGAAACTCTCTCTCACCCCCAGTCCAGGCATCCATTTGCTTTCCCACATGCTGCCCAGAGTGACATGGGTCCTGGTGAAAATTCCTCCCTTTCACCAACCAACAGCTCTAATACTTCCATTTCCATCCCTGGGGGAAAAAGAGAGAGAGAAAACTCGATCCCATCCCCAGGCTGACTGTAAGTCTGAGCCCCAGTGCCTATGCGTTTCAAACCAGAGCATGCAACACTCCTGCAGCCAGCATCTTCCCTACAACCACCGCCACTGCACCGCCTCCCCCCCCAAAGTGGCCTGGGTCCAGTTAACAGTCCCCTGGCTTTGCTTCAAGTGCCTAAGATGACTTTCCAATACCCTTTCTAAGGAGACCCCAGCAAGAGGCCACTCATTTCTATGGCACAAAAAGCCACTGGAGAGAGATCCGTTTGTCAATATCAACTGGCCCAGCAATTCCCCATCCTCAGACACATCAGCCTATCCGAGCTGGCAGATGTTTAGACAAGATTTTATAAATCGTTCAATCTCAGCCCATAATGAACCCCAACTGACCATTCCAGAGCAGCTCAAAGCACCCGAGCCCTCCCCCGCTGGGCTCCAATAACGCTCCCCTGCCGTACCGTTATTAATCATGGGGTAAAATAGGTGAGCCTCTTGAAAAATAAGTGTATGATTGATTAAAGGGCCGTCTAAAGAGCTATTATTCTTGTCTTATAACCGTAAGTTATATTCACTCAATTTATCTTGGAGAGGAAATAAATGATTGTTCGTTTCTTTTCAGAAATTACATTATAGGGATCTCTACATAATTCGTGGAAAGCCAAAGTGACAAAGTTGCTGCTTTTATGATAGTAATCAAAGGGGCTGGGTTACTTGGCTGCACATTCGAGGCTTGTCCTATAATTAGGAAGTGAGTAGGTAATAAAGAGACAATGTCTAAGGCTGTGTAAAGTTTTCTTTTCCCGGAGGGTCAGGGTTAGCAGAGCACCGCTAAAAAGAACCTTCTTCCCTGTCCCCCCCAACCCCTTTCCCTCCAGTTAATGGGAACTAAACTGAAAGGCAGGCGTGTAAAGAGTCCTTCAATAAATGTGAGTAATCTTGAGATGACTCTCGGGTTTAGGAAAACAATCGTGCCCATCAGTAACTTCTGCACTACTAACCGATACCGCTCCAGCATCACAAAGAAGGTAAACTGCAGAGAGGGGTGGCATATCCTTTTATTTTTCCAGGTTTTAGAAATTTACACTAACAAGGATTTGCATATTCAGAGAACAAAAAAATCTTAATTATTGTCTTGCAATACATTTATATGTAAATACTCTAGGATGGTAGGTACTTTCCTCTCTCCCATCTGCATTTTCTTTTAAATAAGCCAGAGAAAGGAGACTTTATTTCACAAGGGCTCTTCATTTAAAAGGTGAACTCAGATCACCTGGGGGTGGCCACCACTTAGGGCTCCAAATCACTCTTCAGGAAAAATGAGCCCTGAACACCATATTATTGTAGACTAGTCTGTTTTTATTTACAATTTTAGATATAAATTAGTAGAGAATTCATGTTAAACAACCAACAAAGATTGTATAACCAGCAATGTTCAAATAAAAACCAGGCAGAATTTATTTACAAAAGTTTTAGATTTCATTGCAATACAACTTGCATAAATTACTAGAAGCTTTATATCATTATAAAAATAAATATCAAATTTGTTTCCACTTCTGAGTACTCAAGTTCTTCGATCACATTTTATTTCTACTGTGTACATCCTTTACAAATAAATTTTACAGTAAGTCCTATCACACCTATAGAATATATACCGTGGCAAGGAAGTGATCAAGATATCCTGAGAAAAAACAGATTGTTTTCAAAGTCACACAAACATCAGGGAATCTATACTACGCCAGCAAATTCACATATGCCCAACGTGTGTCCGGTCCTTAAGAGTCTGTGGGTTGGCAGTGCGGTGTGCATCCTTCTTACACAGTGGCACAAGATGTGGTCCGAGCGTACACATCTGGGTTTTGTATCTGTGTACTTATGACTTGGGAAGGGAGAAAGGCCTCCTGACTTTTTTTTTTTTTTTTTTTTCCAAAGCAATTGTGACACCTACCTGTGGACCAAGGAAAAAAACCAAATCAGCCCAAATTCTTCAGTTCCACATCAACACACATTACAAAAAGACAATCTGCTGTCCAAGGGCAATCTTTAGGGTCTAGGAATAGCACTTCTCCTTGTTGCAAAGTAAAAGCCTGTCTTTTGTAAAAGCCTTACTGTAGGCCAGAACTGCAGAGCTCTGCCTATCCGTTTGGACACTGAGGGGCAGGCCTTAAGAAGGGCACCAGCCCTGGTGTCTCTTCAGTCTGCTCCAAAAACAACTAAAGGTTGATACCCAAGTTTCTATAGCATTCACTCATCTAACAAGGTGTCCTTTATGTCTAGTGCTAAATGACATAGAAATGCCCAGATCTCTTAAAACCATCTCTTTCCACAGAGGCAACAACAGCCAAGGTGGGACACATAGGTTTGAATACATATCACACATATTTTTCACCCCAATTAAAAGTGTGCTTCTCCCAAGCAGAACTTAAGAGGATATCTATAAAACAGAATGGATCCTTCCCTTTAAAGAGAAAGAGGCCAGAAGTCAGCCCTCACCAGCTCTATCCTCCAACCCTTGACAAGAAGCAAAACATACTACAGTAACACAGGGATGGGGTCACGGAAGCACTAGGGTGCTCACTTACTTGCACTGCAGAGCTTGGCCCTTCCTATAGGTAGGACTGGACGCCTGTACCAACCACTGCACAGCCCTCGCTGGCATCTGTCAGAGGAGGGGCAGTTAGTGAGGCCCTGCAGCCCCTTGTAGCCACACACCCACCGGCTCGAAGCCCTGCACAGGGTCCACACCCCCAGGGAATTTGACCACCCTTTAACTCATCTTCCCTTCTCCTTGCTGTTTCTCCCCTGCCCTGGAGCCTCGGGGATCTGGGTTTAAGAACAGAGGCAGTGTAAGAAAACTGGACCTTCGAGCTTCCTTGAGCCAAAGACAGAAAGGATTCAGCAGAAACCTCAGTTAACCAACAACACACAGAGTGTCCACTCATCACGGAGGCAGGCTGCAATTTGCATTTTGTGGCCATTTGTTTGCCAAAACGAAATAGTCACGATGATGACAGTAACAGCAAATTAAAGAGTAAACAATAACAGGGCAACTAGAGAACAGGGCAGCCCTTTTTGTTTTACTGAGCCCTCCTCTCCCACTGGCTTCCCCCAGCTCTGAGTCTGACAAGAGGCTCTGTCAGTCCAGTAAGTGGCCACGGTTTCTCCTTCCAAGGGTCTTCCCCTGGGCCCGCCCCTCGGGTCTCTAGGGCACCCTGACTTACCAAGTGTCCTCCCCCCGGGGCTCGGGCAGCCTACCTTTCTTGGGCTCGTAGCCGCCGCCCGCCGGCCGGTAGTGGGGCTCCAGCGGGTGCGAGCCCGCCTTGCCCGCGTCGCTGGCCGCCTTGGGCGCGCCGTGCATCGGGTCGCCCGGAGCGGTGGCCGCCGCGTTGTACCGCAGCAGGCCCTGGCCCTGCAGCGCCGCGTTCAAGTTCCCGTAGTTTGTGTAGTTGCCGTAGAAGGGCGCCGTGTAGTAGAGGTGGCGGCCCAGCAGCGGCGAGGCCGAGTAGGGCGAGCCTCCCGGGGGCGCCCCGGACGAGGCGGGAGCGGCGGCGGCCGGCAGCCCCGGTGGCGCGCAGCCGGGGCCCAAGCTCGGCTGCTTGAGGTCCGACGTGGCGATCTCGGCCAGCGACCACAGCTTGGGCTTGCTGGCGGGCGGCGGCGCGCCCGGCGACGTCCGGCTGCCCAGGGGCGTCTTGCCACCGCAGCGCGGCGCGGCTTCGGACGCGGGGCTCAGCAGCGGCGCCTCGACGCCGGTGAGCGGCGAGGAGGTCACCGGCTTGGGCGGCGCCAGGTCGCGCTCGCACTCCTCGTCGTCGTCCTCGTCGTCGTCCAGGTCCTCGAACTTGTCCTTGCAGTCTGAGCCCGATTCGCACAGCGGATCCCCGGCGCGGCACGGCAGCTTCTCGCCGTCTGATTCCGCGGAACACGAGTGATCCGTGAGCGAGTCCACGTGCAGGCTGATCCCTGCGGGACGCGGGTATGATCGGTGCAACGCCGGCCCAGGGCGGGCCCCCGGGCCCCCTCCGCCCCAGACCTGCACCGGGCTCCCCGCTCCATCCCCCCTCGCCCCAGGCCAGTGGGAAGCGCAGCTGGACCTCCCCGCGGCGTCAGACCCGCCGCAGCTGCCCCGTAGCTTTCCCGGGCCCAGGCAGCCGCGCGCTGGGCACAGCCAGCGGCCCGCCTGGGAAGAAGGATCCCCGAGACCGCCTGCTGGGAAAGCTCCCCGGGACCTCGCCGAGCACCGTCCCGCTCACCTTCATCCTCCGCCGAGGTCTCGGTGCCCTCCTGCGCCTTGTCGGGCGTCTCCTCCTTGCTTCTCGAAGCGTCTCCCTCGTCCTCATCCTCGTCCTCGCTTTTGTTCCTGGGGGCCCACGTCATCTTGTTCTCCTTCTTGAGGCGCCGGCGCGCGTTGGCGAACCAGGTGGAGACCTGCGTGAGGGTCATCTTGGTGATGATGGCCAGCATGATCTTCTCGCCCTTGGTGGGGTACGGGTTCTTGCGGTGCTCGTTCAGCCAGGCCTTCAGCGTGGCGGTGGCGTCTCGCGTGGCGTTCTTGCGGTACGCTGGGTCGTTGAGCTGGTAAGGGTAGGCTGCGCTGCCGTAGGGGTGGTAGGTGATGGCGCCGGTCATCCCGGTCGTGTGCGTGTCGTAGGGCGAGCCCTGGAACCCACAACAGCCTGTGAGTAGAGAGTCGGGGGGGGGGGGCGGCGCAGGCGTCACCGCCCGGGGCGACCCTCCTCCTGCCCTGGGTCTCTCGGCTGGGAAACTCTCACCCAGGGAAACACAAGGCCAGGTGTTGGGCACAAAAGTATGGTCTTTAGATGCTAGAATTTTTTTTTGAAAACTTTGTAAAACGACATATTTCCCCCTAAACGTTCCCGAGCAGTGCGAACAATGTCGCGCGCACGCGATTCGGATCCCTCCGCGGTTCTGCAGTCTCCTGATATCTAAATTTTAGGGGCTGCTTCACGTGCAGCCCCCTCACTCCCCCTTCCGCCCTTATAAGGTTAAAAAAAAAAAAATACCCAGGGCCCCGACTCCGCTGTTCACCCTTTCCAAAGCTGGGTAAATCCAATTTGCAACTCTGAAGCCCGTCACCGTTTCGAATTCTTCAAATACGTAGTAATTAGCATTTTAATTCATCCTTTAACGTTTAAATGCCAGATATTTACAGCCTTAGTCAGGCCTGGGCTCCCCGGACTCAGCCCGGGGAATTCGTCCCCGGGAAGGCCTTGGCGTCGCCCCCCCCCACACCCGCCGACGTTCTCGAGGACCCTAAAAGTGCTTCCATCCGCCCAGTGGGGCTCATCCGCGGAAACCAGAGATGTTCCGGCCGATCCCGGGTCGCTGGAGCCGGAGCCTCAGTTAGACCGGTACACACCCGGAATTCTGGCGGTGGTCCGCAGGTCCCAGGCCCGCCAACACATTTTCCAAAGCCGGGTCTGAGGGACAGACTTCGCGCCACACTATCAGGAGCTTAGGGCCGGGCCCGAGAGCGGCAGCCAGAGGCTCCAGGCCCTCCCCAAACTCGGTGAACCCTCCGCCACCAGCGCTGCAAGGAAGTCCACCAGAAGCGCGGCCAGTGGCCGGAGAGGCCCGGGCGGCGACGGCCTCAGCCGGATCTGGACAGCACCCGCCCCCCGATATCCCGCAGCGTGGATCCGTGCTAACCCCGGCCCCGTGGGCTCGCCCATCGCCGCCCCTTAGAAAATTACCCCGAGAGCCAGGGAAAGCACCGCTGCCCACCACGCCGCGTGCCAGCCCGGTCCCTGGTTCCATCCGCCGCAGCGGCCGGTGTGGGCCACTCTGGAAGGGCAGCCCTCCCCGCGCCCCGCTCAGCCCGTGCCCGGGGTCTCGGTCCCCCAGCCCCGCTCCCCCGAAGCGGTTACCATGTAAGACGGGAAGCCCGCGGCCGCGGCGGCGGCGGCGTCGGCCGAGTACTGCAGCGGGCTGCCGAAGCCGGTGGCCGCCTGCGCCGTGAAGGCCGCCGAGCCGGGGTACGGGCTGAACGCGGAGCCGGACGCCGAGCGCGCCAGCTCCTCGCTGCGCGGCGCCGCCAACGCGGACGCGCCGTACGCCGGGCACGAGTAGAGCGCCAGCGAGCCGGGCGCCTGGTACAGGTACCCCTGCGGGTAGGACATGGTGGGCGCGGGGCGCGGGGCCCGC